CCGGAGCGGTCACTGAGTCAAAGCCAACGCAGGTGCACGGCGGGGTGTCCTCGGCCAGTCACAGGGAAGCAGATCCTTACTAAAACCCCAGGCAGCAAAGTGGCAGCCCGGGGAGTGGAAGAGACTCAGCCCCCTCCTCCTTTAGCTCTCCTTCATCGGCAGGAGCACACCCCCTGTGGCCTTGTCCAGTGTCCCTACCCTAAGTCCCAGTTGGGTTTAGGCCGCTCACCTGGAGAAAAGATGGGAGTCATCCCCAGGTCTGACCAGCTGGGACCGGAGCCCACTGCCAGTGTTTCCAGAAGTGACCAGCAGGGGGGACAAGTTGCTGATGCTGACTCCAAGAGAATCAGCCTCTGCGAAGTGCAGTGTGAAGGCCCAGCCACCCCGCCAGGCAGTAGCACTAGGACTCAGGACCCGAGCATCAGCACCCTACCTCTGTGTGCCTTGGGTGCCCCCTCCTGCTCGTATCCCTTTCTTTTGGCTCATGACCCCCCAAAGCCCACTGGTTTTCCGGCCACCTCTGCCACTGTTGCCTTTGAAGCTGCTTCCTTGCCTATTCCACTTCTGCATTCTTGCACTGTGCAAGAACTCCAGCCCCTTCGTTGGCCTCTGCCCTCTTCTTTCCCCCACCTAACATGTTTCAGTAATCCTGGCCTCCTGTAGTCTCTTCAGGACCAGCTCTTTCCCACCTCAAGCCCTTCACTTTGTTCTTCCCTCTGCTTAAAGTTCGATCCTCTTTTCATGGTCAGCTCAGCCACATCTTTCAGCAACTGCATGCTGGCTCCCTGGAGGCCTCCCCTGGCCCTTTACCTCTATCCCTTCTTCTGTTATTATCTGCCTCAACCCCTGCTTATTCCTTCTGCTTTCAGTCTTGGGATTGGGTCTTCATATGCCTCCCCCAAGCGAGGAGGTGCGCTGAGGACCAATGATACCTCTGCATTCTCAGGGCCTTGCACGTAGCTGACACTCAAAAACAATTTGCTGAGTTAATGACGTATTACTCAGCTAGCACATATAGGGATGGAGGCAGGATTGAGGCCAAGTCCTTTGTTCTTCCTACTCTTCCATGATTCTGAACAATGAAACGAAGAAGGGGCTCAGAGTTAGTCATGCCTGTTCATGCATGTGCGTGTGTACGTGTGAGTTGCACAGTACTAGGGATAGAACCAGGGCCTGTGCACACTAGGCAAGTGCTCTGCTGCTGAGCCACATCCCCAACCCTGGCCACGCCCTCTGATGCAGCTCTATCATCACACACAGGCACGGCACAGGGTTATCACTGCTGTAGATGAATCATAGGTGCTCAGAAAGTCTCTGCTGGGCCCAGGCAGATGATGTAACTCTGGGAACTGCAGAGGGCCTCTTCCTCCCAGGCTGAAATCCACTTCTCTCCCCTCCTGTTTTCTCTCATTCCCCTAGATCCAGGTCTAGCTTGTTCCCCAGGAAAGGAAGTTGTCAACTGCATCAGCTGAAAACACTGCCCTGGAGAAACCAAAGCCACCACCATCACCAAGGCAGCCCTCTTTCCTCCCACTGCCTGGCCTGGCCCCAGCTCTTTGTGGGCATAAGAAGGCACAGACACCCAGGAATGGGTTGACGTCCTTCTCGAAGTGTTCCATGAACGTCAGAAGACAGGGCACCCAGATGGTTATGTGATGATGCCTGACACACTTAGGCAAGCCTGGCTCAGTGCTGAGTGAGAAACAAGAAGGTGAGATGGGACGGGCGGGGCCTCCCTTGTGCAAGAGAACTGCAGGGGCATTGCCTAAGCCAGAGTGAGGGTTCCTCTAAAGCAGCTCTGAATCTCTCTGGAACCTGGGCCTTTGACATGTGAAGCGTCTTGGCCTCTTCTCAGAGGAGTTTTCTAGTGCAGTATATTCCAAACCACAGGTAATTGTGAAAGGGTGTTGAATTATTCTTAAAATTTTAGCAAACACAAGTTCTTCGTTAATACTGTAAGGAGTAATGTGACTCATACACATTATATTTTGAATTACCTCTGGCATTATTATAAAATATAATTTCAATTAATGACAAAGTATTGGTATTGCTAATGCAGCTTTGATTTGTTACCTACATTTGGGGGGGGTACCAGGGATTGAACTCAGATCCTTGCACTGTTACCTACATTCTTAATTGAAAAAATGCTAATTTTCCATTACAGATGAATAAAAATACAGATGTAATTGTTCTTCTCATCCAGGTTTGTGACCTCCTGGATTCTTTTTGTGGCCCGCAGGTAACTTTGCCCTAAAGATTGTTTCACTTCACCAACTTTAGTGGGATCCCTACAAGGACAGAGGTCACACCTTCATCTTTTTTTATTTTTTGGTTGTTTGAGACAGGTCTATGTAGTTTTTTTTTGTTTTGTTTTGTTTTTTTGTTTTGTTTTTTGGTTTCTTGAGACAGGGTCTCACTATGTAGTTGAGACTGACCTGGAACTCACTGTGTAGCCCAGGCTGGTCTCGAACTCACAGCGATCCTCCTGCCTCGGCCTCCCAAGTGCCGGGATTACAGACGTGCACCACCATGCCCCGTGGCTCTCTATGTAGTTCATAACTCACTATGCAGCCCAGGCTGGCCTCAAACTTGAGGCAATCCTCCTGCCTCAGCCTCCCAAGTTCTGGGATTACAAGCGTGTGCCACCACACCTGGCTCATCTTATATTGTAGAGAGGGCCACACAGAGGCCCAACACTGGTCTGTTGCATCTCATGGAGTTTCTCGGTAGATTACAATGATAGCTTTTCTCTTCAATCTTTGTACTTCTTTGTTTCTTTTCTTGTCTTATTGCATTGGCTGGGATCTTCAGTACAGTGTTGAATAGGAGTAATGATAGTGGGCACCTCTATCTTATTAAGCTCAAAACTCATCTACCAATTTATGCAATAGGACTGTAAAGCAACCACAGCATGGCAAATCTGTGCTGGGCATAAAGGTAAACACAGAAGACAAGATTGAGCAGCAGAAGGATTTCAGCGAAGATGGCAATGTTGACATTATTGATTCTGCAGATATGCTGAGCCTCTCCCTCAGGGGTCCTGTTCCCCTCAAAGTATGGAAGTAGAACCCAGGCCACAGAGCATAGGTCAGGGTGGGGGAAGAGGCAGGCGGGCAGATGGGTAAAGCCCTGAAGTAAAGCCTCCAGCAGGGCATCAGCCAGAGCTTGGGGCCCAGGCTTTGCCTGGTAAGGACCTGTCTGTGCTGAACTTTATAGCTGCCTGCGGAACCAGTTGTTAACATCGACCAAAAAGGGGGCAACTCCAAGGTGGGCAGTTAGAGGAGGGGATGCCTGGGCCCTGTCTTCTCCCCTTCCCCACCCTAAGATGTGAACTCGGAGTAGGGGCTGGGGAATGCTGCCCTCATCCTGTCCTTTCTGTCCAGCTGGTCCTGGGGAAAGAGGAGAGTTTTTTAGTAAAATATAAGGAGGCTGAAGTTTAAAATGGACTAGATTACACCTTAGGGCCTGGAACAAGGACTGTAAGAATAACTAAATACGAATAAGTGAAGAGGTCAGACCGAAATTGTTTTACTGAAGAGTGCTTCCCAGCAGGAGTGGGAAAGGAAGGCAGTGGAAGCCAAGGGGAACAATACCCTCCAGGGGGTAGGTAATGTCCCCACGAAACAGCCACAGTCTAGTCCCTGGAAGCTGTGCGTGTGTTGCCCGACCTTGTGATTAAGCTCTCGAGATCGGCAGGCATCCTGGGCTATCCAGGTGAGCCCAGTGTCATGGAGGCTGCGAGGCTGGGGCTCTCAGATGTGTCACATCAGCGAGCTGAGAGCTTGCAGCTGAGATCAATTCAGTTGTCCCTTGGCCCGTGTTTCTGTCCACCGAGTGAGCTATGGAAGTTCTTTGGGGAGGGACGAATTTCATACACCATGGCTGGAAATTAGCCTTGAGCACCAGCCACTACTCACACTGGGGCTGTGAAGGCCCTGAATAAACAAAGCCTATGAAGTCAGCCTCACCTTCCACATCCCTGCCCCATTTATTAGTGATATCCAAAGAGTTTACTGCCTTGGCCCGAGAGCTGTTTGTTGTCATTCCATCGCCAGTCATTGTCTAAAAAGTATAAATGCAACAGGTTGTGGTCATTTCTTTAGACTACGCGCTCCTGGGAAGGTCCCGCGTGTTAAAATTAGCAAAACCTGATGCTTTTCTCTCGTATTAATTGGCTTCCTAGATCCAGCCGAAGCACCGCCAGAAGAGCTGGGAGGGGAGGGGTTCTCTCTCTGCACCACCTGTAGTCCCAAGGGGCCTCAGAAGCGGGAAGGAGGAGGCGCAGTGAGAGGGAGCAGATGGAGGACCAGGAGCGCTGTCCCGAGCCTGCAGGATGCTGGCAGCCTTGTCAGGGCCACATCAAAGTTCAGGGCTCCCTCGCTGCAAGTGCACAGTTGCTTTAGGACACTGCGCGCCTCTGCGACAGGGTGTGAGCGCGGTCGGGACCACACAGAACCAGAGCGGAGAGGGGTGCAGGACATGGCGTGGGCCCTTGGGGGCCGGGGATCAGTGGCCCGTGGGGAAGGCGCAGACTAAGAACTGACCTTGTCGTTCCCCCTTAGGAGTCTGTGTCCACCCCGCGCCCCGGCACGGCAGACCCTGCAGGGCC